TCTCTTGGGTCCAGGCGTACAATTAATGGAGCGGATTATGTGAAGGTCATATATTCTAATCCTCACTTCCTGTGGGCTACAGCAACACTAAACCCCTGAGCTTGCCTGAGAAGGACTAAATGCACAAAGCTGCTATTTTTAAATATCCCATGGAGAGAGACTCTCACTGCAGCCTGTTCTATTTTGTTGTGAAAATGTGGGCGTGCAGCCTCGTTCTGTGGACGATAAACCAGGTGCAGACTTCCATCTGTGTCACTGCTGATGAGGAAATACAGCGAGTGCTGGACGGAGCAGTGAGTGACAACAACCCCGCCCACATTTAAGAGGACTGTCTGAACACACCGAGGGTCTAGGTACCATGTCTGAAGGCTTACTGCTGGTTCCAGAAACAGGTCTTTGAGGTTTGTATCACAGGAGGAACAGACTCTGTCCCGTCGCTGTCTGAGGTCCTGAAGTCTCCCTCTGAACCCGTCTCTCTCCGCGGTGCTGAAATCTCTCACTGCTACATTCACTGACAGCTTGTTGACTCTGTATCACCGTCACTGCTGCTTCCCCTAAAATGTGTGTCATGAATAAAACATGTTATTGTTCATGTCTCTGAGAGCAGAGGAGGTTCCCCTCCCGTCCCACACAGCCCTGCACCGCTTCACACTCCATTCCCTCTCACTGTTCACACGTCATGTTCATTAAGTCCTGCACTGATGTGTTCGCCCACTGATTTGTTTTCATGTTAATTCATGCCTTCATTACGAGGTGTTTACTACCGAGGCTTTTTAATTAAATGTTTTCATCTTTTAATGGTTTGACTCAGTCAATGAGATGATGTCAGGAGAATGAGATCGAAGTTTGGGAGGAAGACTCTGACTGCACTTCTTTCCACCATGTGTCTTTTCTGTATCCTCTCTATTGAAGGCAAAAAAACTACCTTAAAAATCCAACTCTGAAACACCTCCAGAGCCTCTGAACAAAGACGATGCAGGCAGTAGATGTGCAGTTTAATCACGCACCAGTGTGAAATTTCACAATCGGGCATCGTGTGTCACTTCACAGGCGGAGGACTCGTGAATGTCGCCTCCTCGCGCTCATCTCATTAGAAATAAATAGAGCTGAGGTGACATCAGTCGGCGTGTGTGGAGGGCGTTACTCTGGGAGAACATTATTTATGTCACAACGCTGAACAGATGTTTGGTCAGAGTTGAGATATTCTGCAGCTCATTAAAATCACGTGAAGCTCTGCAGGCTGTCACAAACACACAGTTCCCTCCTTTATGTTATATTTCATACATAAATCAGCCCCGGTCACGTGATGGCCAAATGAAACGTGATATCTTCATTTTCCTTTCACCTTGTCTCTGTTTTTGGCAGCTGCTGCTTTGCTGCCCGGTTAGAAAAATGGATCAGAGGACTTGTTTCATAATCTGATGCTGGCTGATCAGGAGGTGCGCGGGAGCCTGTTGTCAGTGGGCTGATCCGCCCAGCAAACACATGCTAACATGTTTTAAATTAAGACGCTGACAAATGTTGAATCACATTCACCAAACTTTAAACTTTCTGTGGAAACTGACAAAGAACCAAAGTGATTCTTTTTGTGGCAGATACTGACGTCAATATTTGTAGGGCTGATGGTTGGTTGGTCGATATGCTGTTGCAGAGTCCTGCACCAGGAAAAACTCTGTGTAATGAGTAAAAATACGTTTAAATATATATAAATAAATTCACAGGTAAAAATGAACTACACACAGATGGGCAGCGGCAAAACGTGTAGCTCAGCGTGTGACGTAAACAGTGACGTGGGAGGGAAGCCGCGGCTGGTCAGTCCTTCGGTGATTCTCTCGTAAGTCGGCCCGTTCTTCACCGTCCCCGTCATCTGATGGTTAATGGCCTCTTCGTTTGCGAGGACAAGGAAGGCGCGCAATTCCTTGTCTCCCCAGTTGCTCATCTTTACAGTGTCTGTCAGGTTTGTGTTTCCCTCTTGCTACTAGCTGCTCGCTAATTCCTGCTATCAGCTGTTTCCTGTTTATCCACCGCCAGTGGCTCGCACGTGCGGCGTCATCAACAGCTCCTCCCACAAGTCATCAACAGCTCCTCCTACAAGTCATCAACAGCTCCTCCTACAAGTCATCAACAGCTCCTCCTACAAGTCATCAACAGCTCCTCCTACAAGTCATCAACAGCTCCTCCTACAAGTCATCAACAGCCCCTCCTACAAGTCATCAACAGCTCCTCCCACAAGTCATCAACAGCTCCTCCCACAAGTCATCAACAGCCCCTCCTACAAGTCATCAACAGCCCCAGTGTTTAAATTTAAACACTTTTATTTTAAATGTAACCTTTCCTCAGTAATGAACAAAGGAACACAGGGGGAAAGAGGTCAACATAACCATGAAAAACAGTCAAATAAATAAATATACTGGTTAATTATAAAATCCGAAGTACTGCCAAACTGGCGAACTGACCTTTCCGAGACAGAGTCTACTGTATATTAACACTTAAACTAACATGTGTACAGATGTGAAGCCCTGTCTGTATCTGACTGAGCCTTAATGAAAGCTGTTGTCTTGTATCAAATATGAAGCTTACAGTCAGACACAGCGTATTCAGTCTCTGTAGCCATGGCGACAGGTCAAACTGATATGATGCTGATTTACAGCAGAGTTCATGAACCATGAACATAAACTACAGATCACCTGTAAAGCATTTTAATAAATTAATCTATCATAATTAAAACAACTGGAGACTGAGAACAAACTGATATATGGGTCTGATCACTTTAATGAACTGACATCATTCCAGACAGGATGTTAGTGTGTCTGTGACTTCCTGTACGGACTGAAGGCTGCTGGAAACTGTCGGGAAACTGTCCGACTTCACTGCGGCTTTTTGTCACCGCCCCCCACTGCAGCCGCCTGCTCTCGTCTACTTTCCAGGCGAGGCGCAGTTCATCTCCAACGAGCCTATTTTCTCCTTTCACTGTTTTGTTATGAGTTGCAGACACGAGGCATTAAGGCGCAACCAAACTTCCTGTTTTATTAGACGTTTTATCGAACGTATTTTCTATTGTTATCGATCACGTGTCTATCGCGATAGATATCACTATCATTTTATCGCCCAGCCCTACTACAAACAATCGTGCTGTGTTTTTCTTTCGCTTCCAAATGGGACTGGGCAATATATCAACATTGATTTGAGACGAGATATCGTCTTAGATTTTGTGTATCCAAATATGGTAACCCAGTGTTGGCAGCCGGAGTTGGCCCAGCTGATTAGACCCAATTCCAGGGCATCATTCATGCAGAGTCTCAGCCGAGTCAGGCATCAGACATGGTCTGATTTATTTCTTCCAGCTTGCCAAGTTTGGGCCAGGTCATGTTTGACAACGGCCGATTCATGGCTGCAGAGGCACAGGGAGTTTAGTCAACATTAAAACTGAAGTGAATACAGTAGCAAACTGCAGTTCCTCTAATGTCCACTAGAGGCTTGTTCCCAGAGCGAGTCAGTCCCCGCAGACCCCCGTGTTACAATATCCAACTTTACAGCCTGGTTTTGGTCTCTATCGTTTCAGCATTCATGACGACAGTATGTTACAACTATTTTATCTTATCTGACTATATAATGACAAACACTCTGTGTGCGTGTGCGTGTGTCTGTTCCATGTTTTTCTCCTCACTGACTTGGTCAATCCATGTGAAATTTGGCACAGTGGTAGAGGGTCATGGGAGGATGCCAATGAAGCAATATTACATCAATTGGCCAAAGGGGGGCGCTATAGCAACCGATTGAAATGTCAAACTTTGAATGGGCATATCTCATGCCCCGTATGTGGTAGAGACATGAAACTTTGCACAGAGATGCCTCTCCTCATGAGGAACACATTTGCCTCAAGAACCCATAACTTCCGCTTATATAGATTTTCCGCCATTTTGAATTTTTTGAAAAACACTTCAAATGGATCTCTTCCTAGGAAGTTTGAGCGATCTGCATGAAACTGGGTGAACATAATCTAGGGACCAATATCTAAAGTTCCCTCTTGGCAAAAGTTGGAAAACTTACTAAAACTGAGCTTCTATAAGGCAATGAATATTGCGGAGGGCGTGGCTCATCACATAAAGGTGTATAACATCTCAAGGGTTTCACCCATCACCACGCAACTTTGTAGGCATATGACCACACATAATCTGAGGGGACCCCTCCATTATTGACCCCATCAAACAAAATGGGGGCGCTAGAGAGCTCATTTCTTATCTAGGCCTAACCGCCATATGGATTTTTACTAAACTTGGTAGATATGTAGAACAGGACGCCTCAAGGTGACTGGAGAAATTTAACTTGTCCTGATGCTAACTTCCTCTGCAACTCTTATTTTAGTTGATTCAAAACAAGAAAAAACAAAATCCATTGCTTCTGAAGAGCTGCTACAGTTTACACGTTGAGTTCAGCTGGATATTCTGAGCAGTGTGACATTAACTGATGAGAGAAAGGAGACTTGATGTTTTATGAAAAGTAAATTAGCACTTTAAAGAACATCACAAGTCAAAGTCCCTCTTGATCCTTGTCTCCTCGCGCTAATTAAAATAGTCCTCAAAGAATTATGTAACAAGCTGGATATCAAATAAAAAATAGATAAAACAGATGTTAATGAACGTATAGTATGAATCAGCTCCAAAAATACTCTTCTTCACGCTGACATTTTACATCTCGTAACAATAACGCCGGTTTGTCCTCGATGGACGTTTGAATGTCAAACACATGACAGTTAATGTTTGATTTCATCCCTGCAACACACAGCAGCAGACAACTCCCGGAAATCACCGGGAAACAGAATATAACAGCTGACAGATGTTTGAGTCATCGTCACACACACACACACACACACACACACACACACAAACAGGCCGTCGTCTTTGGATGTCAGAGAGGATTTCCTGTCTCTGATGAGGCTGACAGCATCGAATCAGAGCCACCATGTGTGTGTGTGTGTGTGTGTGTGTGTGTAAACATACCAACAGCCAGGTTGGCGATGAAGAAGTTGGTGACAGTTCGGAGCGTCTTGAAGCGGTAGATGACGTAGATGACCAGAGAATTCCCCAGAACGCCCAGCACGATGATGGTGCTGTAGGCCAAGATCAACACCACCTGCAGTCAACAACAACAACAACAACAACAGTCAGAGGTGGTTGTTTTGATGCAGCAACAGCTCGGTTCACTATACTGGAAATAAAAGAGGACCAGCGACGACATCTGCTGCTTTAATGTTTTGAATCTCTTTGTACTGATACTGATTTATATGTGTGAGACAGATGGAACTCCTGATGTGCTCACAACACGTCCAAAGAAAGAAGTTACTGATATTGTCCCTTTCTTTCAAACTGTGACTCTTAAAGCTCTGAAAAGGCAAATAAACAAACAAACAAACAAACAATCTATACAATTAGCACAGTTTCAAGATTAGAGTCAATTAGAGTGAATTCAGTATCTGACCAAATGTCTCCCCTTCTGTTCCTGAGATATGACGTTAAAACATGATGATGTCACAGTCAAGCTGACCTTTGACCTTTTGACCTTCATTATTTTATCCTGTTAGACATTTGTGTCAAGATTGGTCAGAATTAGTGAATGAATTCTTCAGTTATGTGAGGTCACACTGACCTTGGACCTTTGAGCACAAAATTCTAATCAGTTTATTCTTCAGTCCAAGTGGACGTTTGTGGCAAATTCAAAGTAATTTATATCACGATCACAAGAATGAGAAGGGAGAGGTCACAGCAACCTTGACTTCTGTCCATCAAACTTTTATCCCTTCAACGTTAAATCCAAGCAGACGTTTGTGCCAAATAAGAAGAAATTCCCTCAAGGAATTTGAGACACTGTGTTCAAGACAATGTGACACAAAAGGTCACAGCGACATTGACCTTTCACCACAAAGTATCCAATCAGTTCATCTTTGAGTCCAGGTGGACGTTTGTGTCACATTTAAAGAAATTCCCTTTGGCCCCTAACACACAGAAAGCATTGTGCAGGTTATGAAACACGAGGCACACTGCACTGCCTTTTTTTTGTTTTTGTTGAATGCCACAGAGATCTGTGTGGGTACATGAGACCCTAAAAAAGAGGCTGGATCATGGGGAGTACCACCAGTTGGTCCAGGAGCTTCTCCTCCATCATGGACGTTTACAGTACTGCACTTATCTGCTGTTTTCTATTCAGATGGTGCTAACTGTGCTTTGTAAAGTCGTATAGCTCTGGGTATCCAGCAACCACTACCACCAGTTTCTCCTCCATTGGTTACCAACTGTACACTTGTTGTCATGACCACCACAGAAGGCCCGCCTCTCACATCACGTTTGAGATCACGTGGAGCACTTTTCTGTTCTGAGCTGAAGTTTTTCTTAACTCGAGGAGTTCAGAGCACTCCGGCAAAAACACCAGGTGCGTCGCGACACAACAGCGAGCAAAAAGCTTCATTCTCATTAAAAACTGTTACAAAAAGCTGAAACACTTCCTGTGTGATCAGGGCCTGAAGGTGTTCTTCAGATAGAGAAGCAAGAGGAAGTGCAGAAGTCTAGTTTTCTCTCAGTCCACTTGTTCTACATTATGCACAAAGGTCATTGTGGGATTTCTGCCAAATGAAGCCAAGATAAAACTGCCCACTGCAGCTTTAATCAGTGCAACTGAAGGTTTGTGACTGAAAAAAGTATGTTCGGAAAATGAACAATACATTCAACATGTGTTATTGGATGTAACTGTGTCCCTGCACCTCAACGTGTGCAGTACCTGTTCTTCACTTTTTATTAATGCAACATTAAATGTTTCCATGCTCTGTCCTCTGTTGGTTTAAAGGGATAAATACTTTTGATTAAGTGCCATCTGTCGTCCCAGCTGTGATCTGATCTGGTATCAAAGTGCTACACTACATCACTGCTGCACAGAGGAATGGAGTTTGTGTGGTAAAAACATTCCCCTACCTGCACACTCAGCAGTTTAATGGGGTCCTCTGGAAAATTCACTCCCTCTAACACCAGCGGAGGCAACACCGGCGGGTTAGCGCTGCCAGCATTCAGGTCATAGTCCGGCAGGGGCGGGAGGAGGAGCTTGTCCTGTGTGGTGTTGACGACCTCCATGTCTGGTCATATGTGTTCAGCCGGCAGCTCCATTTTACAGTCACACACTCTGTCTCACGGCCTGAAGGGGACAAAGAAGCAGATGGACAGACGGGTAAATAAAAGCTGACTGTCGTCTTTTGTGGCCACTAGGGGGCAGAAAGCAGCAGCATGTTATTTACTTATCGAGTCAAAGTGTTTGATGCACAGAGCAACAATAGCATCCCTCTGGAGGCATTTTTTGTGTCAACCTGATGAATGCTATTCCAATATTCTCTCTCTTTTAGCTCTATTTTTGGTCTCCACCACCTCCTGAGTGAAATACTTGTCTCTTTAGCTGCTAAATGCTCCTCTATCTCCACAAGCTAGTCTCTGAATGTATTTATTAGAGAATAATTTTGCCAGGAAGGACATAATCCCACCGTGTCTTTTCATTTGTTTCAGAATTTGTACACAGACAGCAGATTAGCGTGAGTCATCAGGCTAAAGCAGGACATGAATTTATGTGAGGCTGATTCTTACAAAACCACAGTTTACATGCTCTTTGGTCAGTAGCCAGTTTACACCCTCACTAAGCCTCCATGCTGTGAGCAAAGACAGACCATGCAGAACAGATTGTGTTCTCACCAACATTGTTTCACTCACAAATCAGGAGCAACTCTGGTGTTAATAATCCCAAACAGCAGGCAGACAACATACTGCACGCCCTCCTTTTCAACATGTTTCACTCACACTGAAAACACATTGTTCCAACGGTTACGGATTTCTGTGGCCAAATAATCAGGTCACTTCATCAGACATGTTACTGGGTTATTCCTAATCCCTGAACCTGGAGAGAAACCTGGATTAAGTGTGTAAATGAGATCAGATTACATCTGAAAGTAGATCATCAGATAATCTACAGTGCATGGAAACACACCAGATAACTCTGAGACTTTGACAGAGGCACAGTCACAGATGTATCTTGTTTCTGATCAGATAAAATGATGCAGCTTATTGTTGTTAATCAGAGGAGCTTCAACTTTAAGAGACTAGAAGAGTCTAAACACCGACTGCTTTAACTCACATTCAGAAAGACATTATGTTTGTTTTATACTTGATGTGAGTCAATAATCAGCCCAGCCAGCTGAGGAAAATGTTGGTTTATGTTTCTGCACACCCTGGATATGCTACATTAGCACATGACATACGTATCATATCAAAGTTTCTAACATGATGGCGAGATGACTACCAAGCTGCAGATGGCTGTTTGAGACCAATAAGCAACAAAACTGCTTGTTTTGTAGCAACCTGTCTGTGTTTTTCCAGCAGCTTTTTAGGCACATAACATTGGTGTTTTATAGCAGCACATCTGTGTTTTACAATTAGATTTTTGAGGCACCAAATGTTGGTGTTTTGTAGCAACCTGTCAGTGTTTTTCCAGCAGCTTTTGGGTACGAAGCATTGGTGTTTTGTATCAACCCATCTATTTGTATAAGCTGCATTTTAGGCACCAAACGTGGATGTTTTGTAGCAACCTGTCTGTGTTTTTACAGGCACTAAAATTGGTGTTTTGTAGTGACCCATCTGTTTTTATGAGCTGCTTTTAGGCACATAACATTGTTTTTTTATAGCAGCACATCTGTGTTTTATAATTAGATTTTTACGCACCAAATGTATAGCAACCTGTCTGTGTTTTACAATTAGCATTTTAGGCACCAAATATTGGTGTTCTGTAGCAACCTGTTGCACGAAGCATTTGTGATTTAAGGCACCAAACGTGGGTGTTTTGAAGTGACACAACTGTGTTTTACAATTTGATTTTTATCCACCAAACATGGGTTCTTTGTAACAACCTGTCTGTGTTTTACAGTTAGCTTTTTAGACATCAAACATTGGTGCTTTGTAGCAACTTATCTGTGTTCAATAAACCGCCTTTAAGGAACCAAACGTGGATGTTTTGTAGTGACATCTGTGTTTTACAATTAGCTTTTTATGCATCAAACATCGCTGTTTTGTAGTGACCTGTCTGTGATTCAATCAGCTTTTGAGGCATCAGATGTTGGTGTTTTGTAGCAACCTGCCAGTGTTTTTCCAGCAGCTTTTGGGCACAAAGCATTTGTGTTTTGTTTCGACCCATCTATTTGTATGAGCTGCTTTTTAGGCACCAAACGTGGGTGTTTTGTAGCAACCTGTCTGCGTTTTACAATTAACTTTTTAGACGTCAAAAACTGGTGTTTTGTTGCAACTTATCTGTGTTCAATAAACTGCTTTTAAAGCACCAAACGTGGATGTTTTGTAGTGACAAAACTGTGTTTTACAATTACCTTTTTATGCATCCAACATCGCTGTTTTGTAGCGACCTGTCTGTGTTTTTCCAGCAGCTTTTGGCCACGAAGCATTTGTGTTTTGTATCGATCCATCTATTTGTATAAGCTGCTTTTCAGGCACCAAACGTGGGTGTTTTGTAGTGACACAACTGTGTTTTACAATATGATTTTTATGCACCAAACATGGGTTCTTTGTAACAACCTGTCTGTGTTTTACAATTAGCTTATTATGCATCGAACATCTGTGTTTTGTAGCAACTTATCTGTGTTCAATAAACTGCTTTTAAAGCACCAAATGTGGATGTTTTGTAGTAACACATCTTTGTTTTACAAACATTTTTAGGCACAAATGTGGGTGTTTTGTAGCAACCTTTCTGTGTTTTTCTAGCGGCTTTCTACGTACCAAAGATAGGTGATTTCCTTTCTGGCGACTGGATTGTAATAATATTCAAGAATATGTCCAGTAACTACAACATTAAAAAATGGCGTTACATTGATTGATAACAGCTAGTTTTCCAGTTATGTTTATAATGACAAGAATAAAACTTGACAAAACTGAACAAACTTTAAAATCAACTTGACAGCCCGCTCTGCACTGAAGCTTAACAGTGACATAAGCTTCAGTGAAACTCTCCTCGCTCTCTGTCTGAAAAAAGATCTACACAAGAAAAAAAACATCACTTTATTGTGATGTTTGCAAACAGCCAAATCTATTCTTTCAAACATGAAAGTGCGAGGCTGGTGTGTTATCTTCAAGAGAGCATCTTTGTCTCAGTGTGAACAGTACAGACACCAGCATTCAGAGAGAATCTCAACCAGACAACAGGCCAGGCTTATAGAAATAACATCAGTTAGCTACAGCAGAGTAGATTTGCAGACAACAGATGTATTTGGTGAAAACAGCAGTCCCTGACCTCCAACATCTTGTGTAAGTCTGAGTTAGAATTATAGCTCATGTGATATAAAAATCTCAGCCTTTAAATATGCAGTTTATCTCTGTGTTGTGTTAAAGCGTTCAGATATCTGCATTTCACACAATAACCTCCAAAAAACACAAATATAAAAACTATGACAATAACATGGCAACTTTCAGCGTGCTCTTGAGCATCACAGTGAACCTGTCAGCTCGGGTGATGCAGAGCAGCAGATGGTGGTTGTACCGGGCAGCCCCCACTGGGTTCAAACCTCCGGGCTTTGAATATTCATACAGAAACCAAAGGAAAACCTTTTGGGAGCTTGGATTGTTCCCGACCATGTGGGTGAAGCAAAAGTCTGAGATCCAGCAAAATTTTTGGTGACAGCTGCCAAAACTCCTCCTGTGCATTGTCTTTTTAGAGGGTAGCTTCAGTGTGTTTCAGCCTGAACCCTGTTTCCAATGTTTTTGTGTCTAAGTGACTGAAGGGGACAGTTTTTAAACTGGTCCAGTACTGAGTGGCTGGACACTTGTCTGACAACATTATGAAATGATCCCTACAGACACAGAGCTTTTGTTCAGCCAGAAACAGCCCAGAAATCTCCATCACCAAACCAACCAGACTCCATTTAAATAAACATTCATTTTAGCCTGTACAGAGGCAGCATGTTGTCACATCTAACTGGGTGAGTTAAGGGTTAATTTAAACCAAACCAGAGTTGGTGATTGTTGGAACAGTGGAAACATGAACCAAGACGGCTGTTGAAAGTTTAATTTTGTGTCTGTCGACTTCGAAAAAATACTGTTTATTTGAAGAGTCTGGTGGGTTTGGCAACAGCAATTTTGGGAATGTTTCTTCTCAGCGTTTTAGGCAACAAACATTGGTGTTTTGTAGCAACCTGTCTGTGTTTTTACAGGCACCAAACATTGGTGTGTTGTAGCGACCCATCAGTTTTTATGAGCTGCTTTTAGGCACATAACATTGGTGTTTTATAGTAGCAGATCTGTGTTTTACAATTCGATTTTTACGCACCAAATGTTGGTGTTTTGTAGCAACCTGTCTGTGTTTTTAAAGCAGCTTTTTAGACATCAAACATTGGTGTTTTGTATCAACCCATCTATTTGTATGAGCTGCTTCTTAGGCACCAAACGTGGGTGTTTTGTAGTGACACAACTGTGTTTTACAATTCAATTTTTATGCATCAAACATGGGTTCTTTGTAACAACCTGTCTGTGTTTTACAATTAGGTTTTTAGACATCAAACATTGGTCTTTTGTAGCAACTTATCTGTGTTCAATAAACTGCTTTTAAAGCACCAAACGTGGATGTTTTGTAGTGACACATCTGTGTTTTACAATCATTTGAGGCACCAAATGTTGGTGTTTTGTAGCAACTGCAACTTTCTGGTTAAACAAAAAAGATCTTACTCTTTAACACAAAGGTGCTTGTGTCCAAGTGACTGATTAGACAAACCACCAGACGACATTTAAATAAACACATTTCATTCAAAGTCAACAGAAACAAAATAAAACTTTCATAACTTTAACCTGAATAACAAACCAGGGCTCGGTGCTCTGGTTGGATCCAAACGGAGAGCCGGGGCTAGCTCAGAGACTAGCGGAGGCTAACTGGCTGTGCTTCCCTCTGGTCATGCTGCGGCTAACACTCCGCTAGCCGCTCCCAGCTAGCTCCGGTTTGTTATTCAGGTTAAAGTGTGAAGAAGCAGCGGGTCTGTGGGGCAGCTGAGTGAAGTGGAGCCTGAGGAGGAAGCACCGGTTAGCCCCGGTTTCACTACAGGCAGATTCTCTCGCTACAGGGGCGAGGAAATAAAACCTGAACAGCCAATCAGAGTGATCTCT